TGTCGGAGAACTAGTAGTAGTATTTTTTTGTTGTTGTAATAAAAAAAGACTGGTCAATTTCTGTCTTGCAGTAACCTCAGACAGGAGACCTCTGCTGCTCGGATATTTAAGAGCATTATTTAAACTATAAAACATTTTATAAGCAGAGTTTATCTGTAAGGTTTTTAGTAAAAAACACTGTAGTTTTTCACTTTTACTTCTAGCAGTTTGATAAAAAAAACTGGTTCTGATAATGTACGTACCCACGGTCAGGTTTTCAAGAAACTCACACTCAGTCTTTTGGTCTATGTGGTTTTTTCAACTCTGCCCGTGACACCTCCTTCACAGTAGAACATTGACATCAACCTCTGCGAGCATGTTTGAGACCTTGGTATGCTGCCTATCTTATCTTTTGTTTTCATAAATTGAAGAACGAGAGTTTTATAACAGTTACTGGACTGATCAGATACACAGGCTGTGTGTAAGCTGTGAGTACAGCAATGTGTGTGGCAGAAAGAGAAAGAGAGATTATAATATATATGAACAAAGTTACGGCTGCAAACACCATTTACACTTAAAAACACTTTATCAGTCTGACATATGCACCTTCATGCATCACCCTCACTCAGTAAGCTCCATGTATTACAGCAATTTGTCTTCCATTCTATATACAAAGCTCAATACACTGAATATTAACCTGAATTCTTTGCAGGTGTTATTTTGAGAACAAAATCAGCTGAACTACAGCAAACTGAAAATTACCAACTGCTTTAAATTCTCAGGGTTGGTGCTCTGAATCTTTCTTGAATTATCAATCTTTACACTCATCACTCAAACATTAAACACATTAATACACAAACCAAGGATTTTTGCGCTTCATCTACAGGACTTTTACACCATCCGGACCAAGACCTCAAGACTCAGGGACAGTTTTATCCCACAGGCTATAAGAAATACACACAAATAACTACATTTACTTTTTTAATATATAATAATTCTCATTCTGCTACATCTTTCTATTCATCATATTTCTAAGCTACACAAAAATAAATGAGTGCAATAATTCCTATCTGTTCATACCTCCCCATAACTGCTGCTAAATCATGACTGCACATGTTTATATTCACCTTAGCACCTTATAATGTTTTACTGTAATGTTTATTGGCACCTTTTAATGTTTATTTTATTTTTTGCACTAGTTAATGACATTGTACTTTCTTGTTTATTTGCACTAGTGTATTGGTATTTTATATTTTTAGTTACTCTTATTTTATTATCTTCTGACACTATTACATGTTGAGTTGCTTGAGGTGCCTGGGATTTAAGATTTTCATTGCCAACATGTACGCTGTATCTGTTGTGCAGATGACAAATGAAACCTTTGAACCTTTGATTTTTATTTTAGATCATGTTCAATTTCATTATCCTTTTCTCCTTTTCCACATGTTGTAAGAGATAGTGATGATGAACACTAATGCAAGACACCCAATCGCCACTGACAGTCCAATCACCACCTCTTTTTGAGTATTCCTCTCTGGAACTGCAAACAGACAGAAAACACATACAAAATGAAGCAGCAAATAAACCAAAACATGAAAAAACAGGTAAAACACAGACAGGGAATCTCAGAAGAAAAGAAAACATTAAAGGTCCAGTGTGTTAGATAGGTGAAAGGGATCTATTGGCAGAAACTGAATATAAATTAATCCTAGCAAAGTTTTCATTAGTGTGTAATAATCTAGATTGTACAAATTCTTGTTTCTTTACCCTAGAATTGCCCCTTTATATTTAAATACTTTATATTAACATTTTCTCTAAGGAGGCCGCCACGTTTTTTACAGTAGTCCAGACTGGACAAACTAAAAACCTTTTGAGTTTTCATAAAAATTGAAGGCTACCATGGTTTTTTTAATGTTTTGATTGTAAAGTGAGGGTTATTCAGCTGAAACATGCAAATTCATACATAAATTCTACACACTGAACCTTTAAGATTCACATATTTTCTTAATGGTTCAAAAATCTTGGAAACAACAGTAACCTTTTAGATAGTGATAAAAAGAATGAATTTGCAGTGGTTACATTATCAGAGTCCATGTGATGTCAGTGTCGTAGTCAGCCAATAACTATCGCTTAGCGAAGGTTGTCTTATCTTCTCTGTGTGATATACTGCGGAGTCACAGTGGATGCCAAGTCCACCTTATGTTTATACAACTTGGCAGAAAGATATAAACTTTATGACAGGGGTACGAAGATTCAAAGGTGGTCAACTGGTGCGAGTGCATTAAGGGTCATGAAAGATGAAAGAAAAAGATGAGGAGATCAAAACTTGTTTGATGCATAAACTGTATGCATTTAAATATAATAATATTGCATTACAATGTATGATGATGAGAGGAGGTCTATAAAAGTCTTTATAGGCCTCCTCTCATCATACCTGCCATGTTACATAAAAAAATGCCAAAATTGGTAAATGGTTTGTATTTATATAGAACTTTTCTAGTCTTGATGACCACTCAAAGCTCTTTACAGTAAAGTTTGCCATTCACCCATTCACACAGTTTCAAAAATGCTT